TATATGGCATTTTTTTTGTTCTTAACTGAAGTAAATGTGAAAAGTAAGGCAAGACAGCTGAACTCTAGGCCTACGTTAGCAAGAGTTTGCTCATGAGACCATTCCACTAAACTCTCCTGGTGAAGGCAAAAGATACATTCTATTTCCCAGACAACTTATGGCAATTTCACAAAATAGGAAAAACCCTGCTCTGAAAAAGGGATGTTTTTTCCAGTGTAATTCTAGCTACACTAGGGCTTTACTGGAACAGTTGTCAGTCAGGGTGTGACAAAAACAAATTTATGCAGTAAACAAGAGCTTTCAAGCAGTGGGGATAAGCTTCCAAAATAAACTTTCAAATAGGTCTATAGCCCTAATCCTTGCTTGACAGGCATGGTGTACATTTCTAATGAAAAAAACTAAACCATAAAAAAGTGCCCTGTTATAAAAAGTTCTAGAGAAGAATGATTAAGAGACAATATTCAAAAGCACAGCAGCAAATGACTACTTTTGATGCAGAGGAAAGGCAGGTTTTAAAGACTAATTCAGCTCCAGTGAGGTGTTCTCTTTTGACTTAAAAATCCAAAAGTAGTTGACCCTAAAGGTGAAAAATAAGAGCACATGGCTAAGCTAGGGATATTGGATGGATATTAATGACATATATATATATCAGAACTGGATGGCATATTTAAAGAGGGATATGTATCAGAAATGCTAAATACAAACTGAAGGCAGTAAGAAGAGGTTCTATAAATACAGCAGAAGGAAAAGAAACATAAATGAAAGTATCAAACAATTAGCAATGAGGAAAAAATGACAAAAGATGAAACCAACAAGGCTGAATTCAATTTCGTCTTTGCTTATATTTCCCCTACCCCCAAGGGTTAACTGTAATTAGACACCAAGAAACAGGACCAGGAAAAGAATAGGCCTATCATTTAATCCTTACTCATTTAGTAAGTCATAATATATTAAACAGTTGAAGACAACATTAGAAATAATGCATGAGTTAACAATATAGATAGCAGCTATACCAAACATGAGTTAAAAACTCAGTTGTGCTGATAGGAAATACCAAAACGCCTCAGAAATAAGAAAGTACAGATTAGTAAGAAATCAACCAAAACTTTCCTTAGGCAAGGTCAGAAAGCAAGGTCAGCTTCCTCATCAGTAGTTAGTACAGAATGAGACAACCTTACATGAAAAATGAGAAAACTGTCTAATGAACAGATGGGCTTATCTTACCCAGGCTAAGATCATTTACCTTATGCAGCTTAAGAAAATTTTATGTTGGTGGTGAGGTGAAAAGGAAGGATTTTGGTCTGAGACAGCACTGTTTTCACACTGAGCTTGCATTCATGCTCAGCTGTGTACCTAATCTCCTATTACAGTCAATGGAGACCCTATTCAATTCACAGTAGATCCCTGCTTGGACACAGGTGCCTGCTGCCACTGGAGCCGCCCTAGGGTTTCCCACCACTTCCAGCTGTCGGCCTGGAAGAGTACCAACCCCCAAAGGTCCTGCGTGATACCTCCCATGCCATGCAAATATGCTGGCACGTCAAATGGCACATGTTGCCTATTAAACATTAACTCTCCATCCCTTATAAGTGGTGGACAAGTCCCTCATTCACATGTAGACAGATAATGGAGACAATACATCAGATGTCAATCTAGAGTTGGGTACTGCCCTTCATCTCTGACCTTAGGTAAAACTAGTATGCCATTCTTCTTTAAGTGACCACCTGCTAGTGATCCTAGTATTTTTGTATAAATATTTGTTCTATTTCTCCTTTTAAGTTTTGTTTTCTCTCTTATTATCCTTTTAAACTATGGATTACATATTACTTTCACATATCATTTCTTCATGCCTTAATTGTATTGCACTGTTTTCTGTTCACACACAGTCTTATCTATCTAAGATTTTAGGCAAAATTCTGTTTTCATATGACTTTGAGAGAACAGCTTCTGCAGGGAAGATTCCCCAAAGTCTTATTTCCTGTTCATGGGGATTAACATGTAGAATAACATTTAGATGAACTGGATAAATTTGCATCAGCCAGACTCAGACAATTCAGATCTGACATACAGCTGACTACCACAATCTCCTGCGTAATGCAGAACATCCCAGCAGAAGGGAAAAAGGCAAACATAGCTGCTATCTACAGAAAAAAAAAAGGGGGAAAGGGGAAACCAGCCTAACCTGAAAGCATCCCAGGATAAATTATTCTGTAAATGCAGAAGCATACAAACAGTTAACGCAAGCTTGTAATGAACAAACAGTATCAAACAAAAATATTTTTCTTTTTTGACAAGATAAGCAAGACTGGACTATTAGAGGAATGCAACAAATGGGATATAGCTTGACCTTAATGTGGCCTTTGATTTTGTCCTACCTGATGTTCCTCAAAATCTAACCATGGAAACCATTTACATTAAATCACCTGTAGGTGGTTGGAGAAACAGGTTCAAGTGAACCTCAGCATCATTATAGGTGTTCCACAAAGTTTTGTGCTGGGTCCATTATCTTCCAGTAATTTCATTAATGAAGTCAATGATTTTAAAAAACCCACAAAAACTCAAAACACTTTTAAAATAAAGTTGTAAGCTGGGAGGGGATGTAAGCATTTACAAACCTAAATGGCCTCAATAAACCTGAGAAATGGTCCGATACCAACATGAAATCAATGAAACATGTGTAAAGTACTCTACCAAGGAAGAAAAAAGAAATGTGCAGTTACAAAACAAGTCCATCTGGTTAAGCAGCAGCATAACAGAAAAGGATCTGCTGGGACCACAGACTGAACAACAGTTGGCAGGCTAGACAAAAACATACAAATGTCTGTCTGGAGCATGGAAGTCCATTCTGCCCAGTATTCAGAGCATCAGTTAGAGCAGCATAACCAGTGTGGGGCATCACAGTTTAAAAATTACACATCAGGTCAGAAAGACTTCAGAAAAGAAAGACAAGCAGATAAAATACTCATTAAAAAAATATTATACCAAACTATTCTGTAGTGTCCATCTACATCACTAGAAAGCTACCAGTTCAACAGTAAAACTCTCACATTCACTTGCAACCCAGATACAAAAAGGATGAAAACTGTAAACCATACAGAAATCCATTGCCTGTTACAAGAAGCAGTAGTTTACAAAACATAAGATTTTCTTCTTAAACCTCTCAAATAGGCTTTCTGAGCTAACCTCTGGAACATGTCTCCTTGCACTCATAATTCTTCCCTTGCTAGATGTGCCTGCCAGTACAGGATTTCACATCTGAAGTCCAGCAGACCACCTACATCTCTCTGAACAACATGTAAGCATTTATCGGTGTAGTTTCTGCCAGTGAAGTTGTATTTATACCAGGAGATTTTGTCAATCCTGTGAGCTGGGGAGGAAGGGAAGGAGGGAGGGGCAGGACTTCCCCTTGCATGTGATTTTGTGGTTGTTTATACACATAGCTGTAGCTGAGAGGGGTACACCAGCATTACCATGAAGAAGTGACCATGGCTACAGTCAGGCAAACAGCAGAAATGGCTATGAATTGCTTTCAGAAGGTGTTCAAGCTATATGGGCTTCAAATCACCTTGCACTGAGGAGTGATGCTCAGATGGTCCTCTTCTGTTAGTTTTGCTGCCACAGCAGCAACCTCCAGCTGATAGGAATTAACAAGCAGCTGGGTAAAGCCAAAAGCAAAAGCTCCTATCTTAAACTGCCATATTATAGCCACCTGGGGCCTAGGCTTCACCTTCAAGCAGGCACCATCATTACTTCCAAGGCATCATCTCTACTTCCAAGACATCAGAAAGAGCAAATGCAAATCTGTGGTGGTGAAGCTTAGTCACAATTCCCACAGCACACCAGTTCTAGCAACCCATTGTTACAAAGCAGGTGTTTGGATCACTAGTTGTTATAAACAGAAGGAAAAAAAGAATCATAGAAGCATGGCAACGCTCACAGGAACATGGTGTGGAACAATAACATAGCCATCTTTGAAGTTTAGAAGAGACAGAGACCAAGCCAGTGAGTGACCTAATTAAATGAAAACATCTGTGTCTAATCAAGTATCTAAACCTGATCTAGCTGACATGTGCTCCCTTTATTGGGAATGGAGATATCAACTGAACCTCAGGAGAAATTCACCTCACCCTAATGCAGATGGGCAAAATGGACTCACATGAACTGCACTCCAGAAGTGGCTACTTCTTTTCAGATTGTGAAGGGAGCCTGAGATAAAAGGACTTGGTTTAGATATGTGAAAGTTAAGTGAAATCCCACCCTACGTGTGTAATGACAAAATTAATGAAGAACATAGAAACCAAAATGGAAAAAACTAACAATATTAGAAAAGAAATTAGAAGTGAAATTGATTAATAAAACAGTAAGGTGAGGAAGTATCAGCTTGAACTCAGCAGAATTATCTATACCTGATAATGTTGATTTGATAAAAAATATTTACATTTGCAAAGAGTTTGTTAGTCCTGGCAAAGTCTACAAAATTAATCCAGGTGCCAAGCTTAGAGGAAAAATATGTGATAAAACAAAAATTGAGAAGTTAATTGAAACTTCCATAGTCCTCTCATTGTCTATTTTTAATTATTAGAATTTAGAATATTACAAGTACAAGGACAAAATACGATGTCAAATGACATTGTTTTGCGAAGTGTTAAAAGAGAAGGTAAATGAAAAACTATGGCTTCTCTGAACAATAATATACTAGTTTAAGCATATACTCCTACATTTCATGGTACATACTGAAGTATGGTTATTGAGTTGTTTCACATGCTATAGAAAATGCTTCACAATACTTCAAGGTAATTTTTAGCTGCAACTGATGATAATTGAGTTCCATAAAACTATAAAAAGATATTAATGAGCAATTTATGAAATTGATGTCACACTGCAGCACGATAAATGTAACTTGCTGTGGGCACTATTTAGAGCCAAAGACTCTAAAGGGGTTTTTTTTGTTGGATGTGATAAATACATAAAAGTTTGCAAAAATGCACTTTCTCACTTACCACTGGTGACTCTCAGCACTCTTGCCATCCAGCAGAACAGCCTTTTCAGCTTTAATCTTTCCTGTAAACGGAATACAATATATTAAAGGATTTATTGTACTCTTCCACATTTTAGGCAATTCCCAAGAAAGAACGAAGCAACCTGTTATACCCTAGCTGCAAAGAAGAGATTGCTTCCCGTTCTTGTAAACATTTAGATGGACAATGTAACATCCTGGCTGTACATTATTTACATACCCATACAAACATACATAAACATGTGTGCATATATATATATGGGTGCGATTTTAGCATTTTCTCTTAAAATACAATTCAGATGCAGCTAAATCAGGGAATGATTGGACTGGACTGGCAAAGGAGGCAGAGTTGTCTGTAAGACTGAAGACCATTAAAAGCAGGTTAGAGAAGCACCTGTCAGAAGAACCAGCAAAGCTGTTTCCTGCCTTGGGTACAGTAATGAACTAGTTGAAGTTCCCTTCCAGCACAAAGACTTCCATTAAGTTCCACTTTTAATTGAATAAAGATGACAGTAGGTGATTTGATCAAACCCATGCTCCCAGTAAGAAGTTCAGATGAGATGCTTGCTGTTTGCAAAGTCTCAGCTGCAACCAATTAAGCCACACTGACATTTCTGTATTGGAAGTTAACTTCAAAAAAACCCAAAGAACACCATACACAGTCCTCCAACCCAGTGGAATGAAAAAACCCACAAAACTACTGCCAGCTCCCCCACAGTCTAAATCCCTCTGCACCACTTGCAAAAACTGAGATGAAAAAGGCTGCTGTCACCCACCACTTCATGAGAATGAGCCAAACTAGGCTGGTTACTCAGCACCTAAGACCCAATTTCCTTCCATCATTCTTTATCTCTCCCCGTCTTTTGCTATGCCATTATCTTTCATCAACTGAGGCTACATGTAGTCACTGGTAAAAGCAAAGAATCTAACAACTGAGTTCACTGTTGTAATTTCGTTTGTGTCATAATCCTCACTGCACCGTGTGATTTCCATACAAAGAAGCCAAGTAGCTACTAAAGCAAAAACAGTATCAATTAAGTAGCTAAGACAGTGCAAGTCTTCATGAGCATGACAAAAGGATACGGACAAAGACCTTGGACAAGCTGAGATTGGCTATGGAATATGTAATAACAGCACAAAGGCATGACACTGCCTTTAAGGATGACAAAGGGCAGCAAAAGCTGCTTTGTCAGTGATGTGGTCACTGCTGACAGAACAAAAAGTAGAAAACAGGAAAAGAGTCACAAAAGACAAAATAAGCTGAACTTGGAATACACATATAAAACCTGAATTTGATGCAGCAAAAAAAGGGAGAGGCAATGGAGAAACAAAGGAGAGAGAGAAGTACTCCCAGATACAGGCAAAAAGGATTATTTTAAGAACAGTGTGTTGACTGGAGGAGAGTGAGACATGTAGAAAAGATGTAGGTTTCATCATAATAAAGAGAAGAAGGCCCAAAACAAAAAGGGAAATGTAGACTGTACCTTTAGCCAATATGCATCCAGACAGTGAAAGAAAGGGCAATGCTTTTAAAAGCAACAAAGAAAAAGTGCTGTGAAGAAGAAAATCAGAAACTTGTTGAGGTTAAGCTGTCAAACAGGACACATGGGGAGAGATGCCTGGAAGCAATATTAATTGTCACACACGACTTCTGTTTCTGGTCAACAGTTTTTCCAGATTCACAAAGTTTCATCCCCACCATCACCACAAAAGAGGCTGCTGATATGCAGGAGTGCTCCTTTGCCACAGGAAAGCAGAAAAACAAACCTTGACTTTGGCTTGACATTTGTTTATTTATTCCTTTTGCTCTCCCAAAGATGTAATTAAGAAACTCTGCTTACAGCATCTGTCTTTCTTCAGATTCTGTATCCATCAACAAAATAAAGGATTTTAAGGCACCATCCAGACTCAACAGCCTTCAATTATGACCCACAGTACTTCGTCACTGATTCTGGATCGCTCCAGTAAGGAAAGAATGGACTGAAGTTGTATACTGTGGCAGTTTATTGCACAAAACATTATTATTACAGCACAAATGCTCCCATTTATTGGACTGGAAATTCCTTGGAGTGGAAAACTTAACCAAAGTTCAAAGCATGTTTCACTACATTCAGATGGCATTCTACATAAACCTTTTTTCTCTGCTTACCGTCAGTAACGTATTTCCTCTTCTCCTCAGCATCAGTAGTCATCTCAAACAGATCTCCATAAGCACGTGCAAGTCTCCAAAGGAAGTCCACACAGTTTTCATACTGAAAGTAGAGGATAGCCGGGTAATTAAACTGATCAGAATGTGATTTAAACAGTTTCCTTTCATAATGCTTAAAGCACGTTATCAGAACATGGCATAAATCTTTGGTTGTTTTGCATCCTTATGTACTACTTTTAGTTTATGTGAGAACCAGATGACCAATTTTTCACGACCAAAGGAGAATACAGCTTTTGGAAATACCACGGTCTGTTTAAAGAGGTTTTATTTCATAGATCAGTTTTAAAGTTCTTTTACTATAAAAAATAAAAATCCAGTAATCCAGTAAAGCACAACAGATCCCTGAACGATGTGATGTGTATTTTCTTTAGGTATGCCATAATAAGCACCATACTCACTCATAATCAGTATCCCATCTACCTTCCTGGGTATTTCAATATGTAAATGAAAATATAATCAGAACTAATGTTTGCCAAATCAGAAGAAACTGATACACTGAATTAAGCACTGCACATCAAACCACTTTGAAATTTTATCTGGAGTTACATATGTGCACAGTAAAGTCAGAGGAAAAATTCACATGAAGTATACCAGAAAGGTATAAGCAGACTACAGGCTCATAGTTTGATTTCTTGAGAACACTTGGCCTGGTTACTACTTAATTCCACAGGACTTTCTCACATAGACCATTCCAAAATAGGCAAAAGTAGGTATCATTTATGTAGAAAAAAAGCCATGATCTTTCTTTGTCACATGCAAGAATGCATACATGAAACAAAGCCTCGAAGTTATTGAGCCTGGATGGGATATAAAATAACAAAACTTCTATGCCCACCCAACATGAATATTGACACACCTTGAAATATTTCTTTTTCACTGTATTTTAAAAATACACATGAAATTTCATCTTCCATTCCTGCATGCATTTTAATGCTTGTACTAAGGAAGTTCTCAAAAGCAGCGCAAAGCATAAGTTAATAGCAGCATAATATTAAATTTACCCATTAATACCTTGCCAACTTTCTCAAGCAGCAGTCTGAAGCCCTCCTTTTTATCATCCTCTGAACCCTTGTGCAAATTGTCCACCTGCTGTAAAAGATTAAATAACTCTTCTTCTTCTTCTGATTTCACAATGGCATTGAGTGATTTCATACATCCCTTTTCTTCCTCAGAGTCTCCTTCTGAATCAGTATGAGCTGTAAGATAACTAAAATCACAGAAAACAATAACCATATTTTCTAAAAATATTGGGAAAGCATTGCTAAATTCAAATGCAAAAATTTCAGAGCACAATTTCTTCCAGTTGTCCAACTTAAAGGAGTTTTTATTCATGGTATCAAACTTATTATTATTACAAAACCTTTATCTTCAAAGGGACAGCACAATCATATTCCAAACATAACATGCAAGTAATTACACTGTCCTGCTGCTTAATACTGCATTAGAAAAATGCAGATACATGTTAGAAACACATGTATCCTTGTGTTTCAAATGCAGAACACTTTAAATCATTAATGTGTATGAAAGACATGCTCTGTAAATCTGAATAGGCCTCTTCAACTCTTTACTTCAATTTCCCTATTTTTTGAAATAGGAATGAGCTTACTAACTAAAACATAAGTGTTATAAGAATCACTTACACAATGTTTTGTTAAACACTGTAAGATCTAAACATAAGCAATAACAACACTGTTATTAATTCCTTTACTTATTTCTTTTGAACATTTTGAAGGTCAGCATATCTGAAACTGGCAAAGAGCTTATATTAATTCATTATGCTTAGGGCACAAGTACTCAGCACAAGGCAGTCAAGGACAAAGAAATATTTACAAAAGCCATATAAATACCATGCAGAGATAAGCAGGTGGACTTGCTGTCAAAGTGCTGAGCATACATTAGGGTACTCCAATTTCATATAAGAGCAGCTGAATGGCATTATTTTTAAAAAGTAGCTTTTTGCTTATGTACTATAAATGGACAGAAAAGCCTAATCTTCTGCATTTCCACTTTTGAAAATACTCTTCTGATGAGAAATAATAATGTAAAAGTATTAGCTGCTAGGTTCAGAGATTTTTTTAAATGGTAACTATGAGCAGAAAAAGCACAAAATGTACTATACACATTAAGCAACTGAATAATCAAGGTAGGCCATGACAGTCAAAATACATAAAATCTATTTTTTTCCAGAAATATACCCAGTACAGAGCATTAGCAATATAAATGGAGGTTAACAATAATGGCTTTTAACTATTCTGTTTTCAATCCGTTGCTTTTGGAAGTGACCGGAACTAAAACATGAGCAGATACACTTACAGCCTGTAAATGTGCAAGTACAACTACTTATCAAGGGTACAAAAGTGCTAGATGTGACGTTACAGTTTCGCTGCAAAGTTAACCCGGTAATATGGGAAAGAGGAGTCAAAAATGCATTTGGATAAAACGATACATGAATAAACCATGTGTACGTGTTCAAACTGAAAAACAACATAGAGCAAAGCAGAGATAGGAAACATCATAGATTCCTACAGATTTGTTTTACATAATCTTGATGATGCTGAAGTTGATGACACATCCTATGATGTATCCTGCAGAGTCTTTATTTGTAAGTCACCAAACATTTATTTTGGTTTTCTAAAGCATCTTTAAAAACACAGCACCTTGTTCTTCCATAGTTATTTTGAAGTGGGTACAGAGCTACACCACATATAGGCTGCGTTTGTAAGAGCACTAACTTGACCAAAAGTGCCGGGGATTTGGTGGGAGGGGGGCAATCTTTTAGCACCAATACATAATCCTATGATTTGAAGTATGGTTGGAAAGTACCTTTTCTCACATGGTTTGGATGCCCCACCCCCCCTAATTAAAAGATAAATGCACCAAGGGTTTGTGCAATTACCAACCTAAAATAGATAATATAAAATAGCAACAACTAGGCAGTAGGCAATTTCACATTCCAATACAGTACTGCAACTGTAACACTCCTTAGTTACAGGAATTTGGGCACTGCATCAAATGCTACCTAAGCAGGTAGATATAAAGTAAGGAATCAGTGTTTGGAAGTCAATGTTGATGTTGCCATCTTTATCTTTGCTGCACAAACATCTGCTAAAATTTCTAAGATCACTACTGTTCCAATGTTAGAAAACAGACAAAAGTGGTTATTAGAAAATGCTACTCTCCCAGCAAAAATATAAAGGCCAAGGCTGGGCTGACAGCCAAGCCCTGTCACTCCAAACAAGCCCAGCAGAGATTTCCAGCAGCGCTGTATCAAACTGTCATGGCCAAACAACAAATTGAGGCCAAACATCAAATTCATATGACATCACATAAGTCATATGAGAATATTCATTGAGAGACTCAAATGGAAAAAGTGTCAAGTAGGTCGCTATCTACCATAGATGTGTGTATGTCTATCTACCATAGACATAGATGATGTGAACCCAGAAGGAGCTAATTATAAAATATCATGGAAGAATAATCTTTTAAGATCAGACCATACTGCCTCAAGCCTTTTCTCATCCCACCTCTCCTACAGAAACATGATCTCCAGGCCACATTTGTGCTGAGAAATAGCAGAGAGGACAGGTCATTTCTTCCCCACTCCCTCTCACCTCCACTGTCCTGGGAAATTCTCAACTACTTCCTCTATTTATCTGCTTTAAGAATCCTCAAAGAATTTAAATGTGGAGCATACCATCTTAAACCTTGATGAGAATGCCATAAAATTTCAATTTAATCATTGATTGTGTGCTTTAAAGAAGGAAAAACAATACCTATAAAACAACCTGTGGGAAATGAAAAACACAACAGTGAGTAACTTTTTTCAGTGTAAGGCAATGCCAGTAATTCCTAGGGACTGCAACAAATCATACAACCCCATACCTGCTGACATAAATGAGAAGACACTGAGCTACACTAAGGGGCAGGAGTTTCTACACAACCAACAGAGAAGAAGGGCATTCTCAAATGAAAGAAACAAAATGTTTAAAATATTCTCCAAGTTTTGTTTGAAGTGTTTTTCATAAGAACTCCACAAGTTAAATGTCCTGATACCAAAATGTTCAAGGGAGCGCAAGCAATTGCTAGTCCTTAAGATTCGTCATGCTAGTTACCACCAAGATGCACCAGCATTCTTCTAAATGTTTCCTTTCTTTCCTCAGAATAAATTCATAGTGCCTTCAGAAGGTTTTCTCTTCCTTGTCTCTTCTTCTTTGGCTCCAGAGCTGACATTGCTGCCGCCCAGCATTTCCCACAGGAAAAGCACGAAGGTGACAGCCAAGGGCTTCATGACATTTGTGATGAGTTCTCACCTCACTAGTCATGCACCCCAGGTAGACTCCTACCTTGCTCAGAAGTCATAGGGGTAAAATGACAGCAAGGTATATAATCATGTATAAAACATTAAATATAACTTCAACCATTTTGGCAAACTAGGCATAAAGAATATTCTTCTGTTTTGTTTCTGATGACGTTCATTTTCTTACTAGCTCTCTGTTCAATCCTTATCATAGCAGAAATGTTTTAAGCATGAAAACGTGTTAAGAAGGCAATACAGACTTTTAAAAAATAAACAGCTATGATTTTTCGTAACAACTTGGGTAAGCTGTACTTTACCAATTTGAACTGAAGCCAGTTTTATTACAAGATAGGAAGTCCTTCCAGCTACTTAAGGACAAAATAAGAGTGTAACAGATATTATTGATATAAAACTACGATAAGAAGAGCTTGATAACTGACTTCAACAAAGCAGCTAGCAGGCTTATACATCTACTCATTCTAGAAAAGCATGTTATGAAAAGCAATACTATAAAAAAAAAAAATCAGTACTAACACAAACAGAAGTGGAGATTCTTTTTAACACAGTTTAAAAACTCCAAGGGTCTAAGGGCTGATGACAGTAATCCAAAAGGGAAATTAAGAAAAACCGAGAAAGTCATTATGTTCATATAACAACACTGACATCTGCAATTTTACCTGGTATATTCCTGCAAGAGGTTTTATCAGGTGATAAACAGAAAAGCGAGTATTTACATGTGATTAACACATTGACCAATATTTGAGAAAATGGAAAAACTTTAAAAATGTCTACAGTCAGTGCCAGCTTGTTTTCACCTTTATTACAAATAGATTTTTTTTAAAAGAGAAAAACAGTTGTAAGAATGTGAGGAGCAACGATCAACCAACAGGACCCAGTTGGATCACAAAGGACTGTTCAAAGTTCAAAGAACAAATGGAAACTGCGCTGGAGACTCACCACACTGTGGTTAAGCTGTTCAATAAATCCACGCACTGAGTAGTGGATTAAAAAAAACCCTGAGCTGCATGGTATAAAACACCACTGTGGTATAAACTCACTTTGCTTGTTCAAAAACTGTGTTGGATTGCCTGCAAACTGTCAGACACTGGGCCTAACCAGGTATCATCTGTTCCCAACATTTCAGCTTTTAGACAGATCAAATATCATCTGTTGTCTCCCTGCCAACCTACAATCACAAGCCGACACAAACACCATCTCATCCGTTCCAGCAAATTCAATAGAAAGGTGATTATATGTCACAGACTGATCTGGATCAAATTTGCACTGCATCACCCAGCAGAGTGCATATCCATCAGTAATGATAACCGGCCTTCGAGGAAAAGTTTGGCAAATCAGATTCTTAGGTCAACTGAGGGTTGCACTGAAAACAAATGGGCAGCAAAAATAAATGAATAAATGAAGAAACGATAAGTGAACTGATACTCAGAAGCAGGCAAGGGAAATGTTTCTTCCTGCTGAATATTTAAACTATTTCAAGGAAAAATTATAAACAAAACATCTGTAGGAAAAAGATTTACTGCAGTGAATCTTTCTGGAGACTGATGCCAAATGTAACTTGAAAAGCTTGGATGCCAGGCCAGCTGAAGACCAGTGTCAGACATGACACTGATGTCAGTGGTTCATCACTGCTGTATCAGGGAGCAAACAGCTTTAAAATCACAAAGAGGAGGATTAGGTGACACTCTCCATCTCAGGTGATCATCTAGACACAATTTATTGTATCTGTAAATGAATGAGTGCTTGTTACACATTCTCAAATGTTAAAGATTGAGGTTTTTGCTAGTAAATGATGGGAACTGAAACAAACTTAAGAACAGAATGCAGAAAAGCACAGACTAGAAACTGTAGTCTCTTTAGTGTTCAGTCATGTCCCATCCATTCAGTGTATCTTCCATTAAAGCTATCTGTTATTATGTAAAAATAGATCTCATTTATTAAAAAGCATGTGGTATTCCTCCACTTACAGAAATATATAATTTTTGAAAGGCAAAATAGAAAGCTTCTCTTCCCAAGGTGCTGAATACCAACAGTGACATTGAGAATATGACCAGAGCAGATCAAAGCAGTGAGGACCATATCAGACTGCCAGCTTAAAATATTTTATGGAAAAAACAGGTAGTATTAAAAGCTTTTCTGGAAGAAGTTTACAAATCTGAAACCAATGTAGTCATCCAGCACAAGTCCATAAAACTCTTAAGATTACCTCATGCGTCAATTCCCAGCATCTACCCATTTGTCAGTTAAAACCAGAAGTGCTTAACACAAGCAAAATCCTATCTTCTAGATCATGAAAATACTGCTGAGGCAGTGAAACCTGCTGCATGTACTTTAGATAGAATACAGAAAGTGAAAAAATGTTTAACCTGTTACTAAGAGAAAAATTATTTCTCAAATGCACAAGCTAGCAACTGAATGCATTATTGTGTGCAGAATTCACCACAGAACAGTATAAAACAATGCACATGGTGTTATACCTACAGCACATGAAGTGGTGATGCACATTAACTGGAAAAAAAAAGCGTGTTATTATTGTCTCTCACGGCAATCTCCCACAGAACATGCACGACTATCATTAAAGTTACAGAAGACCTCAGAAAAAGCTATATACATTGCAACTGTACACATATTAGGATTAACAACCTATTTTCATTTGCAAAAGGAAGAAAAAAAACAAAAGAAAATTACTTAAATAAAATGATCTTAAATTTAGAGAAGATATGCAAAACAAGCACAAGTACAAGGTGTTAGTAGGAAAAAATCACCTCTTTTCAAAAGGGATTAAAAAATAGCATTGGAAAAGCACATACCCAAATGACTAACACTATAACCTTGAATTATCTTCCTTCCTTCTGACTGTACACAAATACTTGTCAGAGGAGGCCTCTCTTAAGGACACATTCAAAGCTTTTGCACACTATAATCACTTGTATTGGATCACATCATCAGCTGCTTCGTCACACAGAACCCGAACAGACAAGTTTCCTTGGCTAGTTCTCAAACAGCAACACATCTCTGCTGACCAGAAAATGGGTTCTTCTCAAATGCTAGGTGTGGAATAACCCCTATACTGTGTTTGGAACCTGATTATTCATAAACCGGTCCTTTGGCCTTACCTACATCTCCAAATATTTTATGCATAACATAAAGGCCTCTGCAAACAAACTAATGGATAAAGCAATCTGAGAAACTAATAGAACTGAAATGTTTCTACACCATATGAAGGAGGAATGTCTTTGAATACCCCTGCCAATACCGAATACTTAAAATATAAGAACTGGTTCATAATAGAACTGACAGGTCTCAAAACATGGTTTCAAAATATAAGACTTGTGAAGCATGTGGGCTGGGATGTAACACAACAAGAAATTCTGCCCACAGGAACTGAAAATAAATCTGGAGAAACTCTTAAAAAATAGAATTCCATTAATTATTATATGCAGCATGTTGCTGTCTTCAGAATATTACAGTTAATCAATATATCTTTAAAGAAAAAAGTGACTTTAGGCAATTTACAGACATAATGCTGCCTACACAGGTCTGTATAAGACACTGAGGAGATGGTTCAAAAAACTCAGTTGCTATAAACATACCCTTATTAAATTGTATATGAGTACCTAATCTGATTATATCAAAACAAAGTTGCAATTACAGGAGAGTAGTGTCATCACCATTTTTACATTACTACTAGAGGGCATATTAGGTAACATATGAAAAGACAAAAATATAGTCCCTCTCCTGGACTCCAGGTACATCTGATCCTTCAGCTTGTTCCTCAACTCACGCAGATAAAAGATCCCATTAACCACAATGGGACTACAAGATGAGATCAAAACTAGGAACTTTCTAGAGTCAGTACCCTAAATCCCTCATGATCACTTTTTAAGCCACCAGAAAGTGTATACAACAGCAAACATACATAAACATGCTGCCATTTGGACATGTGTTGCATTCAGACATAGCTTTCACAGCATGTAACACCTTTAGGCAGAACGCTGTAATAAGTCATCTTTAAGGCCCATAGAAGACAATTATCATGAAAAGCACAGGAGCATTCGTGCAGCTTGAACAAACTGTCAGAGGCACAAGACTACTTTCTTACTAGAAGCACTTTTAAACTTACACCATTACTCTGAACTTTGGCTCTCATTGCATAGCTATGTAGCAATACTGCATCAGATTGTTACCAAATGCACCCTTAAAAAGCCAGTAAGCCAGCTTCAGCCATAGTGCAGATTCAGAGATGGTCACCCAGAGTTTCCTCTGACATAAAAATTACTAATCTGAATTTTTGGGTGGTTTTTTTCCCTGAACGTAGAGAAATATAAAATATACATAAAACTTTAAAGGGCCTCCTGATTACAATACGAAGTTTCACATAGGTAATGATGTAACTTGCACTGCATGTGTACTGTAGTATATACAAAATATTATTGACTCACCCTCCTTCACTTTCCGCCTCCTCAGAGCTGGTAGTTTCTGTTGCACCAGAAGCTGTCTCAGCTTTTCTCCGCTTTGTTGCTCTGTGTGATGGGCTAACTCTCTGAACATCTCCCTTCCCTTGAAGCTCATTTCGAACAAGCTCTTCAAGCTTGGGAATAGCTTCTTTCAGAAATTTGACCTCTCTCTTCAGTTCGTCCACACTTACTAGCAAGCCATTCAATTTTTCTAGTATCTGCAGTTGCCTTCCATGTAAAACCATTACTGCTTCTTGCTCGTTAGGAGCTTCATTTTCCAAGCCCACAGAATTAAGCCTGGTACCTGCATCTAGGAATGCAGGTATATGCACAGCTACACCAGGTTTTCGGATCTTGCGGTACCAAAGCAGCATCAGGCTTATTCCAGCAGTCCCTGCCATTATGCCCAGTATTAGCCCTTTATTTTCAGAGGGAGACATTTCTGCACTGTCCTAAAATTGAGAGACAACAATAACAGTCGGAGTTAAAGATGTTTTTCCTACTCTACTCAAACGACTTTGCTTTTAAGTCACAAAAGTGTAAGGCTAGAATAACCGGCGCATGCTGCAGATACAAAGTTACAATACAACTCTAGCAGATTCTGCAATAAAAGGCTTTGTGCTATGACAGCAAAACCAGGACGGCTGTGGGTTGGGGGCGGGTGGGGAGTAAGGCACGTGCGCAGGACCGCAGCCTTCCCTTTTAACCTTCTCCGCATCGCGGGATTTTTTTGTTTTAATGCCAGAAACTCATATAATCGGATTTCCCGCAACGGCAGAGCGGCGGAAACCCAGCTCTCAGGCCGTGGCACAGCCCGCGCCGCCCGGAGGGGTGTCTCGCCGCCGCCTCGGCCCCACCGCGCCGAAGGGGCGCCGAAGGGCTGCCGGAGCCCCGCCGTCCCCTCCCCGTGGGGGACCGCCCGTCTCGCAGTCC